CGTGGAGCAAGCGAGCAGCTGAGGATTGAAGATTTGAATGGCGAAGGAAACTGGAGTCGTGGTCGACTGTCGTCACTGTTCCTAGTTCAAGGAATTGTAGCACAGTAGCTGTGGTCATACCTGGGTGGGTGGGTGGTTGTGGGTGGTCACTGGAGGTGTGTCGGCAAAATGGTGTTGGCGATATTGCAAATATGGGTTTGGAGTTTCAATTTGATGGTGGGTGTGGGTGGCGCTAGTGAAGATGGGGTCCAGAGAGTTGAGTGGAGGCAAAAAAGAGAATGAAAAGTGAAGATGGGGTTTAGAGAGTGGAGTGGAGGCAGAGAAAACAAGAAGAGATATTGAAAAAAAAAAAAAAAAAAGGGCAAAAAAATTAAAACATATTTTGTTTATATACATAGGGTGAAACTGGTTTTGAAAATCGATTTCGGTTAACCGGTTTGGGAGATTCCCAAATAAAAAACCGAACTGGTTTTTCGGTTTTTAAATTTTCACAAACCGAAAACCAAATCGGTTTACAAAAAAAACTAATTTTCAGTTTCGTTTCAGACCGGTTTTCGGTTCGGTTTCCGAATTATTTCTCCCACCCCTATCTATGAGATTGGCTATGTGATCTGAAACAACATGTGACTTGACCAACATGTCATCGACATCGACTTTCATTGATTTCCCGATCTGCTTAGAAAACATAAGGTTAACCAAAACCTGATAGTTTGCCCCAACGTTTTTCAGACCGAAGAGCATGACTTTATAATAGTACAACCCTCAATCTGTGATGAAAGAGGTATGCTCCTCATTGGGTGCGTACATTGAGATCCGATTATACCCCAAGTAGGCATCCATAAAGCTTAACAACTCATACCCAGAAGTGGCATCAACGAGTTAGTCGATTATGGGCCAAAGGAAACTGTCATTCAGACAAACTTTGTTGAGATCAGTGAAATCAACACAAGTTCACTATTTTCCATTGGGTTTCATTACCAAAACAAGATTGGCATCCCAACTTGGGTAAAAAGCCTCCCAAATGAACCTGATTGAGAGGAGCTTATCCACCTCAACCTTAAGAGCAGCATAACGCTCTAGGTCTAAGGTTCTCCTTTTCTAGTGAACTGGCCTGATCTCATTATTGATGTTGAGTGCATGACATATTATATACGGGCTGTTCCTGACCATGTCAGTAAGAGTCCATGCAAAAATATCAATATTTTGTCTAAAGAAGCTCGTCAGATCTGCAGCGAGTTGAGGGTTGAGATTACTTTCGATTCTCAATACGTAGGTCGGCTTGCTCTGGTCGACTGGTACCTCAGATAGAGTCTCAATAGGCCCACTGTGGGAATACTCCTCCTGAACTCAAGAATCTATGTTGTCTTCCACTAGACCTAGCTGTGGTTCGATCCTGCTGATCGCTATAGCCTGCTCGGGAATGCCCACTGACTTCCCTTTCCCTTTGCATGCCATTTGCACTGCTCTTACATTATCGTTGCGAGATTCACTTTGAGAACCCTTAACTTCCCCGCACCCTATCTGTGTGGAAAATTTTATATTCAGATGATAGATGGAGGTGACAGCTTTGAAGTTCCGAAGTAGAGGCTGTCCCAATATGCCATTAAAAGCAGACATGCAGTCTACTACCAAAAACTCTGTCATCTTAGTCACTTTGTAGGTCTCACCCAAAGTGACAGGAAGTGCAATTGTTCCCTTGGGAATCAGATGATCCCTTGTAAAACCATAGAGGGGGATAGAGGCAGGCTTAAGATCTGCCTCGTCCAATTGCATTTCCTCAAATGCTCGTTGAAATAGAATATTCACGACACTACCATTATCCACCAACATCCTGTGGACTTCGCACCGATCTATTTCAGGCACAATGACAAGTGCATCCTCATGGGAGTGATGCAATCATACCGCGTTTTTTCTGAGAAAGTAATCTCCTCCTCTCTATGCACCTTTGCAGGTCGTGACGCCGTGCTTATCACACTCACGGGGTCATGGCGAGCTTCTCGAGCGTACTTCTCCTGAGCAGTTCGAGAATTTCTTACAAGGTGCAACCCTCCAAATATAGTTCCAACAAGATGGAGGCCCTTGTGAGTTGCAACCACGACTCTTCTTCCCCTACTCCCTTTGATCCTTCTCCCAAGTGGGAGTTGGACCATTAACATACTCTTTGAAGTGCCCCTTTTTAATGAGGTCTTTAATCGATATGGTGCCCATTGTCTCGATGATAACGACAATACTTCTTGCTGTTTCTAGCTGAAGAGGGATTATTCATGGGTGTTAGTGTATATTAGTGTATGCCCTAGAAACCATTCGTGTTGTCGGTTTCAGAGTATTTTGTCTTGTATCTATATATATCATAAATAATAGAAGAAAGAGTTCTTCAATTCATATATGTAAATTGCTTCCTTTATTCAGTCATGCATTTAAAATAAAGTATGTATATGAATTGTCTAGATGATTCATTTAATAGGTAAATGAATTATCGAAAAGGGTTCCCTACGGAAGCAATATAAATTTGGGCAACTATATTGTACAGTAGGCATACCGAATGCTTCCGAAAGATATCATGAGTTGATATAAGTACGGATGACGATGATAGTCATGTCACTAGGGCATTGGTATGGATTAACGGTTGGTGAACTGTTTTTCGAACGTGACCGAATAACGACAAATCACTTGGAAAAGCATGTAGTCAATGATTTATCGTTTGGTTATATCAGTGCACGATGTAGTCCTTTGACCTGAGACATTGTAGTCGGATCCGATATGGATGCGTATGGTTCATACGGTGTATAAGTACGAGACTAATCATGTTTCGTACAATAAAGCCTATTTGGTCATGCGTTGTTCATATGCGGAAACGAACGATGGTCAAGAGGGGATCCATTGACTCGGAAATATAGGATCGGGAGTACCGCTGACTCCATCCGGATTCGAGTTCCTAGACGAACATCGATAAAATGTGAAACTGAATCTCTGGCCAGAGTTTATATTAGTTCTACAAAAGTAAGTTGTGATGACAATTTCCGGATATTTCGAGCAATTCGGTAGAAGATCGAGTTTAGGATTTGACATTCCATGAATTCCATCGTCGTAGTATATACTCAATGAGGGACTTTACTTGCTGGTACGTATGATCTGAAATGGGTTCGATGAAGTATTCTTAATTGTGGTTTTAGGACCTATGGCAATTGCTAGACTGTTCCATAGTCGTTGGGCCTCACGGACAGGTTTCCGGATTTCATCCAGAACCGACTCACGTTCTAATCCACAGTGGACCACATGGTCACACCAAAGCTTGGGAAGTTAGAGAAGGATGAGAGAGAGAAATGATTATCTGAAGACGGCTAGCACCTTGCGAGGTAATAACGGGATTTCTATAGTAATAGTTACATAGAAATCATTTGTGACATTTTAAGGTGTTAAAATGGTCAAGCAATAATTAATTATATTATTATTATACTTAAGTGTTAAGATTAATGAGAAGAACAAAATTAACCTTTAATAGTTAAAGGGTAAAAAGGGGTAAATTTTGGGTTGTTAATGTAAACTAGTTTAGTTTACATGGGCCCTTGAATAAATATTGATTATTCAAAGGGGTAGTATATTAAATTCGTGGGGTCCTCTTATAAAATAAGATTTTATTGGGCTTGGAAGTGAAAAATAAATAATTGCAAAATTGCCCAAGTATATATAAATGTAAAAGGTTTGCTTTTTTGTTCATACATACATTGTTCTCCTCAAAGCAACAAAACCAAAACACCTCTCTCTAAAGCCACGACCTCATCTCTAAACTCTCAAGTGGTGTTAAGTGTGGAGGTCTCATTACTTTGAGGCTTATCTTCACATCCAAAGCAAGGATAGTAAATCTCTTTTCCAGACTTTGTTTGAAAAAACCGGTTCTAGAATCCATGCTTTCATGCTTTCATTCTCCATCTCCACCACTCTTCATGCATGCATGCTGTTCTTTCAATGGCACTAGCTCTATAGCACTTGCTTCTTCTGATTTATCCAGAATAGCTAATACCGATGCATTCAGCGGAATATCACAGATTCTTGTCACGATCACAATAAGGGACCTGGGCATAAGACTGCTTGGGCTCAATCGCTACTTCTTTCCCTTTCTCTTGATCATCATTAGCCATTTGTGATCAAGCTTTCTACTACCCTCCCCCTGATTTTTGTCCCAACGACTAGGGCACTAGTTGAGGACCAGGGTCGTGTGGTTTAAGGCGGCTACTGAATTTTCAATCTCTGAGATATTTCTCAGTGAGGTTGTAGAAACGGGTGGGGGAAATATCATCCTCAAATACAACTTTTTTCACGGTCGATTTGCGGCGAACTCCCGCAATAATAAGAGTCTAAATAAAATCTTCGGGTGTATTAGCCACCTTATTCAAACTCCTTGTGAACTTGTGAATTATGGACTGGAGGGACTCATCCCTCTTGTAGCGTATGTTGCTTAGTACTCCGCAATCAGCAATACTTTCTGTTATCCTGGAAGTGTCTAGAAATAACAACCATCTGCTGCCATACGAATATAGATCCTGGCAAAACAATTTAAACCAGCGTTTGACGTGGGTAGTCAAGTCTTGTTAAGCAGCAACATTTAGCCAAGTTGGAAACTTTGGTGAAGCTTTATGAGGTCATGGAACTCATAAGATGATCCGTAGATCGAATTCCCATCGAATGCTCACAGTTGGGCATTCTAAATTTCTGAAGAAAGGGAGATCCTTAGGACCTGCCCTCACTCATTTTTGCTGAGCCTAATTTATTTAGAACTTGCGTAATTCCACAATCTGAGGAAACAGAGCTACGCCGGGATCACTTTCCACACGTGGGTTCGCCCCTCATGATTACGGTTAGGAAAGACGGCAGGTTGGACTTTTCCTCCACCTTGGCTGGATCCTCCGGCATACCTGTGACACATGTTGGCTGGAGCCATGCGAAGGCGCCGAAGACCAAGGGAGCTATCCTACCTCCGCGGTGGTTAGAATCGGACGCGAATGGTGGGCATTTCCCTAACGGTGATGTTCACGCTGACGCTAATGGGAATCTCCCTGCCTGAACCTTGTGGGGTGCCCATGCGATGTGGCGTGGGACGGCTCATGATGCGACATACTGCCAAGTTGCAAAGTCACAGGTATCTACCTGCTTCAGCGGTATTTCATTGGTCCCTTGACCCTTTGCCCATTACGGCCACCTGTTTCCCATCTTTATGCAATTAGAGTGTGGGCGACATGGGCTTCGTCCATTTTGCTTTAGGGTGACCTACAGGTGTCTTGGCGGTGGACCGCTTTAATCAAATAGGCGGTACTACTTGATCTAGACGACTAGCCTTTGGTTGACCATTTGGAGATTATTGTTGAACCTCTCTGGCTATCATCACAGTTGGGTTAGCTGTGAGCTTGAGGAAATTCCACCATAGTACCCTGTGGAATTGGAGGTACTTCATGAGAATACTATCCTGTACTTGGGGGATTCTTCCTTGCTGGTGCTAGCTCGCTCGGCTTCAAGACCACGAGCCATTGTTCGTGAATAGAAATTATTGATCAAAGATTCATGATGAAGAGCATATACTAAATTAGGCCCTCTTTCTAGCGTCAACTGTTTATACTTGATTTTGACACCAATACTCGCATGTGCAAAGTGCTACACAAACCTCTAAAATTACACGTGAATAATTATGATAATCTAATGCAAAGATGAAATAATAAATGAGAGTATTTTTAAATGGTTCGGTATTGCTTAACAAATCCTACCTCCATTGCTATTTTATAAATGAGAGATTGAAGTGGTTCAGATGACTTTTTAGGCATAACACCACTAGTTATTCTATTGTTGTTCTTAAATTTTATGGAATGTGGTACTTGAATTCTGGATATATTTGCAAACATATATTTTAAAATGGGTATCTTCCAGTTTGAAAATTATATGACCACCATTTTGTTGGTTTTTTTATTTATTAATTTGTAAGTATGAACCCAATGTAATACATTAAAGTGAAGCACTAAGAAATAAGAAGTGGCGTCATGTTGGTTGACCAAATTCCGCTTGAGGAATGAGAAGGCCACACCACCCACATGCTTCATGCTTTGACTCCTTTGACTCATCTTTAACCACTCATCTTTTACTACAATTTATCATTTTTAGACCTAACTCATTACTCTTCACACTTCTTATCCCCAAAGAGAAGAAAATTTTGAGTATATGGGTTTTCTCATTGATCAATCGGATATGATTTATTATACAAATTTTACCCAGTTAAGTTGGACAAATTTTGACTACATGCATGGTAACTAGAGTCCACAATATCAAGTCAATCTTCATTTGAAATCTCTACATTTCTTTAAGTCATTTTCAAGATAGTAAAAAATGTAATTATTTTATGTTTTTCTTGTGAAATATTCAACAAAACTCCAAAATCTCCCTTACCCACTATGCTGTCTTTTGACCTCATTATTAAATACACTGATCCCTAATCCATATTTTTAAGCTTAAAATTTGACCACCATAATTTTAATCTGAGGAAGAAGACCGTAGAAACTATACACTATTTGACTATTAAAGTTGAGCTAGGTTGATTAATATAGAGCAAATTTCAATTTATTTTATTATGTAAATGGATTCTACAGATAAATTAAGTATATGAGAGGCGAGGCTGATATCTTCAGAATCTTTATTGCATAATGTGATTGCAACAAATGGTCCCTCACCATCAACAGAATAATGAGACGTGGGGCCAAAAATTATATTCTGTTAATTAAATCTCTATGAATGAATTGATTTATTTTCACCAATGATAGAGAAGAGAACCTAGACAACTTACCCTACGGGTCAGTAATCACATAGGAAATTAGCTCATAATTGAATATATGATTGTGAAATTGATTTTCTATTGTTCTTATGGCTAATGGTCCGACATGATAATTGTTTATTTAATAAATGTCTGATAAAGATTTACACCTTGTTGTTTGACTGTGTCCTTAAAAGCAAAAAAATTTCATGTACAAGAATGGTTCACTTACAAAGTTTGAAAGTATCTATCTTCATCTTGCCTCTTAAGTAGATGAAATGGGTCCAAAGTGAACTTGAGTACACCACTCAGAGAGAGAGAGAGTGGTGTAATATGCAAACCTTCTTAAATTTTTAATCTTTTAATCTTTTAACTTTTTTTTTTTTTTTTTTTGAACTAAAAATAAAAAAGAGACCAATAAAGATTGGTTAGAGAAACAAACAGAAAGACAGAACCTCTCTTTAGATTTTTGCTGTTAGAAAAAAATTAAAAACTGCTTCACTTCTTCAGCACCAGCTCAAACTCATAAACTCTGATTCCATTTATTCTAATCCCATTAAAATGAAAACCCCTTTCTTTCTGCTCCAATCTGACCCTTTGAAAAAGGTACTGCTTTTACGTTTTTCATTCTTTGATATTTTTCTGCTCTTTCATTTGTTATTCAGCAATTCTTGTTCAAGCTATGATCTTGTTCTGGGATTTCTTTGGTTTTCGATTTGTTTGTAAAATTCTAGCTTATCTGGGTTTGTGAAAATGTGGAAAAAAATTGAAATTTTAATTTTGGTCAATACCCAATAAGCAAATTCAAAAAATTTCTGGTATTTTCTCAGCTACCAAACGTAGAGGAGTGGTCACGTTCTTTTTATTATTTCAAGATTGTGTTGTGTGTGTTCGTGTGTAATGTTCATTTTTTGTGTTCAAAGGTTACAGCTCTGAGGACCTATTTGTTTTTACATGTCCATGTTTATGTATGTATCCATGGCTCATAATAACTGATATGCACGGACCATTCCTAATTTTGTTGAGATAATTTTAATGGCATTTTCAGTATTCTGGGAGTGGTCAATTTCAATGTTGAAAAAACAAAGTTAGAAAACATGGTTTTATGCTAGGATTTGGGTCAAATACGCTTAGCATTACCCTAATCATTGATTAGAATTTTCTTAAGTTCTGTAACGTAATCTTTTTGTGACCAAGGGTATATGATATCTGTACGTCCCAAATGTATACAATCACTAAACATTGTCTAACCTTGTTGCTGAGTCAAGAGTTGTAAAGAACACCTTCATGAATTAGGACAGTGGCTAATGCTACCATTCAGATGCTGTTCATCACTATCTTGACTAATTAATAACTAAGTAACATGTGCTTATACGCACAAGCCAAACATTCATGTGTCCAAGGCATGTGCCCGTCTTGACTTTTCATGTTTTGTGATTTACACAATTGTGCGTAATATTAGTCTCTTTTTTTTTTTAAACTTTATCATTGGGCATTTTCATATAGATTCTGAAGTTGTACTATGATGTTTCCGTTGAAATGGATCTCACTCAGGTTTTGGTGCAATCACGTGCTTTGTCGTATTGCTCAGGTGTGATATTGTTGAAGATGGAACTGCTTTGCCGTTCTAATATGGGCTTGCTTGCTCGCCTGTAACAATCTGATTATCAAGGTATATACATTCCTTGATATATGTACGCAGCCTAAGATATCTAATTGAGCGTTCCCAATTGGTTGTCTCTGTTGTAAATTAGACAAACTTCTGATATAGGGTAATCTGCAAGTGAACTGTCCAGTTCATAATGTCATCTGAGTCAAAGTTTTGTGCAAAACTAATTGTAGCCAAGCTAAGCAGAGCTAAATTCTATCATTTACTTCTTTGGTTGTTAAGCTAAAAGTTATTCTATTAGTTTAGTGAACTCTATAGCAATGAGTAATTTAGAACAGTGGAAGAACTTTGTTGTCTCAGATTGAATGGAAACAGAAAAAAAGAAACCGTTTAGATGCAAAGAGAGGGATGGCTTTCAGGTAATAAAGTCAATTGAATGTTGATATAGGTAAATCTTGCTGATTCAGTAGGCAGTATCAGTTCCTAATGAGATGGATTTATCGATCATTTTCTTTTATGTTTGATTTTATTAGCGTGAAAATTTTTGGTACTTATATATTTGTTGTTGGGTTAGCTGTTCTATTGTGGTGAATATTCCTATATTCTGTTTCAGGAGATGCACTATACGCTTTGAAGAATTCATTGCATGTTCCAAGCACTCGCTGGACTGATTGGAATCAAAACCAGTAACCATGCACTGGTCCAATGTCTTCTTCTGATCAACTATGAACAAGTTGTCTCTGTGTGAGTATCTAGATTAAGTTTGAACTTCCTTTTTTTTTTTTTTTTTTTTTTTTTTCTTTCATATTATGCTTGATAGCACACTACCAGCATAATACTTGTTGTAGAGTACTTTAGTGCATTCTGATCTATATGAAAGTATGCTAACCTTACTCTGCAGGACATGTCACCAATGAACTTCTGGAACTGTCACCGCGAATAGGAGTTCTAAAGAACTAAAAACACGTGATGTAGGGAGTAATGGCGAGTGAATCAAAATTGTTACAGTATTATAACCTATCACGAGGGACATTCCAGTCAAATAATGAATTGGGGGTACATTCAGCAGTGGTGAAAACTCTTTATCCAATATGTGCCTATGCAGTCCTATGGAGTTAATAATGATCTCGGCTCCTTTTTCCCTCTCCATTTTATCTACCTCGGGATGCTTGCATAACCCATTGGGTCAGAACACATGCACAGCAGTCGGTATTTATTTGGATAAGGGAAACTTAGGATCTCTTTGAGCCATTGAGTCAAAACACTAATCCTGTTGGGTTATGATTTTGCCATTATGATTGCTTAGGTTAAAATAAAGTTCCAAGACATTGTTTTTCTGAATTAATGAAGACTCACTTTTGAGCTCTGTGAATTGTTATTAGGCTTACTTTCTTATTGGAGGCATTTATTTCAATTTGAACCAAGCAAAAAAAAAAAAAAAAAGATCTTCTGACTTCTGGATTTTTTATTTCGTTGATCCATGCACTTGGTCCAATGTAATCTTTGATACTAGTAACTCTCTCTCTCTCTCTCCCGTCACATGGATACAGACACATGCTAATTACAATGAGATTATACTTGCCAGCTTTTACTTAGTTCATAGTTTGATTTAGATTGTAATGTCATTGACTTGTTCCAGTATATGGATATGTATACATGCAAGATGTTCTAAATATATAAATGCACTTTTCATGCAGTACGTTGAAAGGAAATGGCATAAATGGTGAAATACCTGAAGAGTTTGGAAATCTTTCAAATTTAAACAGCCTGGACTTGGAAAATATCATTTAACTGGTCAAATACCACTTCACTTGGTAATCTAAAAAAGCTTCAGTTCTTGTAAGTATTCCATCAATAATTTTTTTTTTTCCTTCAGTTTTATTATATTATCTTATGTTTTTCATATATTTCTGATAACAACCGGCTACTGTAGTTTGTCACATGTGTAATCAGAACTTTGAGTCAAAACAACCTAAATGGCACTATCCCTGAGTCACTTACAGGTCTTTCAAACTTGATCAATATGTAAGTGGTTCTAGAAACTAACTGATGCCCGAATGAAGTATAAATAAGTTCCTTCTCTTCCCCCACATTTCTGGATCTTGGAGATACTTTATGTGGGCTTGTGTTTGTCAACATCTTTCTAAGTTTTTGATTGCATAGTTGAACTTCTTTTTGCAGTCAGCTTGATTCCAATAATCTCAGCGGCCAAATTCCTGCACGTTTATTCCAAATTCCTAAGTACAAGTATGGACAACACCTACTTGTATTATTTCAATGCCGAATGACTCAGTCATAATCTAAGATGCTGTGAACTTTTCACTTATTTGATATGCTTGTATTTAGTCTTTCTACCTCACTCTTTTTCATCAGCACTAAACTTGATTGTGCTGGCTTATATTAGTTTCACAGGAAACCATTTGAATTGTGATAAAAATCTTCCCCACCCTTGTGAATCTAGGAGTAATGATTCAGGTAATTTTTTTTATGTTAGTTTGCTTCATAGTGAGGGAGATGTTTTCTTAAAATAGAGCTGTTAAATTTTTTTGGACCAGCTAATTGCTTAGGTAATCCCAATTCTGACAGGCGGTTCGAAGAAGCCAACTATCGGAATTATAGTTGGGATTATTGGAGGATTTCTTGTTCTTCTTTCTGGAGTCCTTCTGTTTTTCTGGTGCAAGGCTAAACATAAAGGCTACAGGCGTGAAGTATTTGTAGATGTTGCAGGTTTGTGTTAATTTTCAGTTTACCAGAGACTAATTACTTTTAGATGTTATTTTATTTCATATATATATTATTCTATAGTTTCTCTTTTCAGTATTTAGCTTAAATTTTTGGAGCATATATGCATGGTTCAAACAATGTTCTCATTAGGATGGTGATGAACAATGAAGTGCAATATTTATACACATTATTCTGTATAAAAATTTGTATGAATAATTTGTAAGTGTAGCATTATTCATTTTAGTTTGTGGTTATGAAATGTTGTGGGAGAATTTCAAAATTGTGAACTTCAACCTCATGATTTAGTTTGCCACTCATGACTTCATGGATGCTTGCTTTGTAAAAGCTCTCTCTGGTATCCATTTTGTTCTACTCGTCGGGTAGCTCACCTGTTTTATCCTGTATTACAAGTTGTCTACCATCTTCGAATTTTAGAACTGAAGTATTTAATTTGCATTTTCTTTTAATGTAGTTTCTCAGTTGAAGCTGTCTTTTTTATTGTGTGACTAGGTGAAGTCGACCGAAGAATTGCATTTGGTCAATTGAAAAGATACTCGTGGAGGGAATTGCAGTTGGCTACCGAAAATTTCAATGAAAAAAATGTCCTTGGACAGGGAGGTTTTGGAAAGGTTTATAGAGGGGTCCTTGCTGATAACACAAAAGTTGCTGTGAAGCGATTAACTGATTTTGAGAGTCCTGGGGGAGATGCAGCTTTCCAACGTGAAGTTGAGATGATAAGTGTGGCTGTCCACAGAAATCTATTACGGCTGATTGGCTTTTGCACAACACCAACAGAACGTCTTTTGGTGTACCCATTTATGCAAAATTTGAGTGTGGCCTATCGTCTACGAGGTATTTATATCTATGCAATTTCATATAAATCGAAGCTGCTAAGTGCAATGTAATTGTTTACCTTTTTTCCTCAGATATTATTTTCTAATATGAGTCTTAATAAGGTAATAAATGCACAAGTGAAAATTTTGTGTATTGGCATCAGAGAGTGGTGCCTTTCGAAATTGTTCATCTGTTCTCAGTATAATCATGTTTTGTTTCAGAATATACCATCAGAAATACAAAGCCTGAGACCAAAGTAAATTTAGAAGGCCACGGGTTTCCTTCTCAAAAAAATTTACATGCGATATCATTACCACTGGACACATACAATGGAAATTATGCTTGTATCTTTATTGTTAGGGGCATTGTAGATTATAGGGAAGATAAAGTATTTGAACGGTGTGAATCCAAATTTTTTTGCATCTTTGTTGTCATAGTCCTAGTCCGAGTTCTAATCTGTCAAGCACAAGGATTACCCGACTCCAGTGGAGATCTGAATAGAATCTGTTCATTTACTTGATTTAGCCTGAAGTATTGTTGAATTTTTAGTAATACAAGTCAAATGATGGACTATGCGTATTTAATCTTAAGTTCTGCTGTAGGCCTACCACTTTACCATGTAAAATTTTATAGGGAACTTATAAAATTTCTTGGGTTGTAATTCTTGTACCAATTTATGCATACGATAATTTCTAGAGGCTGCTCTGATGATGTTTGACTAATTTTTAAGCATTATTGCAGAAATTAAACCTGGGGAACCTGTTTTAGACTGGGCTACAAGAAAAAGAATTGCCTTAGGTGCAGCACGTGGGCTGGAATACCTACACGAACATTGCAATCCTAAGATCATTCATCGGGATGTGAAGGCGGCTAATGTATTGCTGGATGAAGACTTTGAAGCAGTTGTTGGTGACTTTGGCCTGGCCAAATTGGTTGATGTGAGAAAGACTAATGTGACGACTCAAGTTCGTGGGACGATGGGCCACATAGCACCTGAATACTTGTCCACTGGGAAATCATCCGAAAGAACAGATGTTTTTGGGTATGGGATTATGCTCCTGGAGCTTGTAACAGGTCAACGTGCAATTGACTTTTCTCGCCTAGAAGAAGAAGATGATGTCTTACTGCTTGACCATGTAAGACACAAAATGTTGTACTATCTTCATTTGTTTGTCTGCATTTATCCTCTCTCCTTGCCTCATAATGGTTGACTTGTTTATATATAACTTACAAATTAAACAATTAAATTTAATCTCTCAATAATTTGGAGGAGTTGGCACAGCTTTAGATGTTAAACATCTTTGCTAGCTTGAGCCCAAAATGCAATTGTTTCAACAGATGTATAGTGCTCTACTTTCTTGAAGATGTTTCTTACAAACTTGTGTAACTAGTTGTACTTGTACATCAGTATTTTTTATTGCTACATGGAATTCCCAACTTAAGTGTTTTTTGTTGGAGCAAATGCCTTTTTCACTTCTTTTGGGAGGAACTTTGGCCATAAAATATTCAAGTGGCATTTTTTTTTCTCTTGGTGTTTTAAGAAATCTTGTGAGGAGAAAATGCTTCCAGCATGTTTTCAAGTCATCTCATATGTGCTTTGTTGTGCCGAAGTTGATGTTGTTCAAATTTAGTGTTGATATGAAAACAATCTTTAACTTGTATGAGGAACTTTACATGCATCCTCATGCTGGAATTCAGTTAAATTGGGCTTCATTTGTAATGTTGTTGCTACATCAAAGTCTCATGATGTTGGAGTGTAGATGTACATCTTCTTCTCATTTTCAGTTTTAAGTTAAATTGTTCTTGGAAAAGATGAAATTTATTTGAAATTTGACAGCATTTCACTTATGAAAATTTTCATTTGATGCATAAAAGATTGAAGCTAGATAATTCGATTGGCTTATAATTTTCAAGTTTTATACTAATCAGTTCTGATGATTGCATCAATCTGTGTTAATATGTCTCCAAAAGGTCAAGAAGCTCGAGAGAGAAAAGAGACTGGATGCTATTGTAGATCACAACCTTCATAAAAGTTACAACATCCAAGAGGTGGAGATAATGATTCAAGTTGCGTTGCTCTGTACACAAGCATCACCTGAGGACCGTCCAGCAATGTCAGAGGTTGTACGCATGCTGGAAGGAGAGGGGCTGGCTGAGAGATGGGAAGAGTGGCAGCACGTTGAAGTTACTCGTAGGCAAGAGTACGAGAGGCTGCAAAGAAGATTTGACTGGGGGGAAGATTCCATACACAACCAGGAAGCAATTGAATTATCAGGTGGAAGATGAGGTAACGGATTTGATTTGGTGTGACAAGCATTTAACTGTGTTACATTAGGCTAGCTTGATGTTTCCTTCAGCTGATATAATTCTAATGCCAAAAGTAATGGCGTGGAAAGAAAGGGGCAAAAAAAGGAAACATGCCTTCATATTTTTGTATATCATATGTTCGTAGTAGCTCTTCCCTTTTGTTCCTTGTGTAATTTAAGTTTTGGTTAAATTTTGCAGCCATGAGCCAACTAAACGTAAGGAAAGAGCTCTTATTCTGTATAAGGAAGTTTTTTTAAGTGATATTGGAGATCTGCTGGGTTGACACCAGTCTGATATTTTTAGCTTGTGCTCTTCACAAGGACATAAGAAAGACAAATTCTGGTTTTCAATCATGTTTAAATTATGCAGAAAGGCTACCGTTTTGTTATGTGTCTATGCCTATGATACTAATGGATGCAACTGCTTTAACCTGCCATTCTTCCATTTGCTGCATCTCCTTGACATCATCTTTACATGGGATTTTCTCTGCCAAAAGATACTCTGGTGTCTTCTCCATGTCTCTACACGCCATTTCTACTAGGTTGATGCCAAACTTGATACAATCAACAACTGCCATTGCTAGAGCTTCTATTGACATGGCTTCTTTGGCTCGAAATCTGACCTTAAGAACTTGCACAATGCTTTTTAGCAGCATTCATGCCTAGGCTCTTCTCCATGGATATCAAATCAAGTCACTAGTATGCTTATATATATGTGTTCCAAACCTTCTATCTTGTGATGAAGGTCACAGATGGCACATGAACAAGGTTACATATTGTTATATCTTTCTGTGACTTGGGCCAATTGTACTTCACTTTCACTTTTTCATGCACTTTTACTAAATCACAATCAAAGATAATTGATTAACTAATAAAAGTTGTTAGGGGGTAGTTGGCCGGTAAAAAAACCAATGGGTATGCAATGAATGTGTACTTACTAGTAATTAATTATGTCTATGTTTTAAAGCCCAGCTTGGTCATGTGAATGCTTTCACCATAAGTTCTTAGTTTCTGTATAACTTTTAGATTTGGAAAATGTATACACATGAGTGCATGTGATATATGGGTGAGGTCACCTATAATTCAGTGTAGTAATTGAACTAGATTTTTATAATTAGTAAAAGTGTTTTAAAGGAGACAACCAAAAGCCTTTAGAAAGTAAAAAGTGTTGCTAGAAAGATGCTTGTCTACTTAACATGAAACAGAAATATTTTCCTTTTCTCTCAACAAAAGTGAGGATTTCATGTGCAAAGTTTACTGAATTTCTCGGATGGAGATAGAAGTTAGGCTGTTACCATCAAACTATGATCAATAATAAATCACTAGACAGATATAATGCACTTTCTAGTTGGATCAAATTATGTAGTGTTAGAAGAGGAAAATCATAGTCTTATAATATGATCCAATCATATTCATAATTTATGTGAAACCCTCTTAAAAATGAACATCACCATGATGAATAAGTTTAAATACTGTCATATCCATAGCAATGCATGACAAGATTTTTAATTGGACGGAGGTGAGTGAATGTCCCAAGTAAGTATTTATAGTTCTGTCAGGGCTGAAGGTTAACAGATTATACAAAAGCAGAAAATAAGATGAAATTGAGATAAGTTTTTCTATTAACAGCATTCAATTTGAAAGAAACTTTATAACACTAATATAATGCTATAACAATTCCTCCATAAAGGACACATTGCAACTCAAAGGTTAGGCATTAGCAAAACACATTTTTCCTTTGAAATTGAAGTTTTGTCTTTGCCTGATTCACTGAGGCTACAGCTTTAGCCCATTCAAGCATCTTTTCTTTCAACCATTGCTCATTAACCACTAACACCTCACTTCTCTTCTGCTCATTCTTAGTGCTTAACCTTTGCTCAGCCAGCAGATATTCAGGAATCTGTTCCAGGCCACCATGTTCCCATGCTTCTACATCAATGCCACACTCAGCATAGTCAACGCCTGCCATTGCAAGAGCTTCGATAGACATTTTTTCTAAGGCAGCACACTCACAAATTTGTACTCTAAAGAATGTATCAATGAAGAGAAATCTTTGGTGATTTTTATGACAGTATGATGGAGTGTATTTATATGCAGTAAAGTCCTATGAGAAACCACTGTTTAGAGGATTTCTTGTGTGCTATCAACATTGAGTTTGAGGAAGATACACGGGTATCACATGGACAACGTTTTACTTCATTGTACCCGTGATCTCTTAACGGGCCTTTAACTGAAGTTGCTTACTAGTATCGGAAGATATAATTTGACAGATTAACCCCAAAACTTTTGCTAATATGTCTAGGCAGTAACTTGGACACCAATTTGGAGATTATTGTCTAAAAGGGTATTGTCTAAATAAGCAACAAAAGCAGTTTATCCACAGAGCTTATAAAAAATCCTTCTCAACATGTCAACCACAGTTCTGGAACTGACTTCTATCTGTGCTTCTTCTTTACGTCATCGAATTCGTCAAGAACTTGTCACCAATGAGCAATGCTGTTAAAATCTTGAATTTCCCGTGATAGGATCTTCTTCATAGAATCTACGCATAGTAGTTTAGTTTAGTTAAAAAGAGGAACTACCTTCGATATTTATGGTCTGAACAGGTTTTTTACATTTGAGGGCTTCACATGTTCCTTTACATGGATGCCACATCCAAATGCAATGAATTTGATCAGTTAAGATTTTTGAGGATTTTTTTTAAGAAGATTCAAGTTTAATAGTACAAATACAATGCAATATATCAGACTTGTCAGCTAAAAGATACAGTACTATATATACTTCAGAAGAATTAGAGACTGAAAGAAAAGTCATAAAATCACTTATTGGGGGTTTTGTTTACTTTCGGGTTAGAAGTGTTAGGTTGAGTATTTCTTGTGATTAGTCTACGGTTGTGTATCAAGAGAGCGTTGTGAGATCTGTAAAGAAGAGTTGAGTGTTATTTGTGTAAATTGAACAAAGGATAAATTTAGTGCAGAGAGTCCCTCAATTGTGGAGCTCAACGTGGATGTAAGCTATCCCTGAACCATAGTAAAATTCTTGCTGTTGTGGTTTATTTTTATGATTGATTGTGTGTTTAGGCTGTTGATGTGTAGATTGATCGAGGCTGGATTATAACTTCAGATTATCAAGATATATAATATATAACTTATGCTTTTAATAAGTTGGCAATTATCTGTTTCTCCCTTTTGTGGAATTTTCTTTCCACATTATCATAAAATCTGTCATTACTATAAATATATTTTTATAATAAATATAAATTATAATTCATGTTAGGATTCGTACATAAATATAGTTAAGTATATATACAGAACTAAATAAATAGACATATTCAACTTTTTATTTGAAATAGTATTCCATATGTATTTATATATTTTTTAATTTCTATTGTTCTTATCTTCTGCCTAAGTGATAATGTTTATTTTGATAAATTTATGATGAAAGATTTTCATACTTTTTGTTTGACTTGTGTGTGTTAAAAGACAGAAAAATTTGAAGTATAAGAAGTGTTCACTTACAAAGTTAAAAGTACGGGTGAGCATAAAATTAGAGTAGAATTGGAACCCGTGGGCGATTCATGTTCCCTAATAGGTGGAACCAGCACTGTACGGGTCTGGTTTTGGTTCCACCGGTGTTTAGAACTGGAATCGGACTCGAAACTAGGATCCAGGTGAGAATAAAGGTTTGAATGATATTTCATAAAATTATGGGGGTAGTATGTCATTTTGGTTAATAAAATTTCATAAAATTATGGGAGGTAGTATGTAGGTCGAGAGTTTTATTTGATTATGGACAGAAAATAACACTTTAAATGAAACCCAATAGTATATCATCAAAACCTTGAATCTAATAATTGAATTATACACATATTTGACAAGGATGAAACAATTAATAGAGGTAAACAGTAAATTAACCATTAACAGAATCTAATAATTGAGCTAATTAAATTTAAGTTAGAAAAGTGAAAATTGAATTTGATTTTAGAACGCATGATTATAGGATTAACCCATTACATAGATTCTATAAATAAGATCCAATTACCGAGTGGGATCTCATAAATTGATGATAACCATAATCTATTTTATCTAATAATATAGATTTAAAAATATGTTGCTTATTGATGCTTGATTTTGATAACAACAACCTTGCACGTGCAACGTACTAAGAAAATCTTATAAGTTACATGTGATTAATTAGGAGATTTGGTCAAAGGTCACACTAACATGCAAAGACTTAATGTAAAAGAGACAATGAAATTTTTTATATTAGTTCGAATGCTTAAAGTGATTTCTACATCCACTATTTTCTTTTACATGAATGTTCTTGGTGATTAACCAAGTTATAAGAGGTCGCGAACAGCAAACAAAATTACAAAAGTTTGGTATTCGGAGAGAATATTAAGCTAGTCTCTTTCCTGTAGGTTGTCTTTGCTATTTGTTTTGTTAATTTCAGAGAGTCTGATCCCCGATTTTGTGAGGGGAAGTCCTTTATTTATAACTGCTGAGTTCAAGGTAATGATTAAAAGTCTGTAAATGGGTAGGTGTCATGCAAGTCCTTCCTTGCGTCTCATTGGTTGATAACTTATGAAATATTCTTAAATTATATAGGGTTTGGATAAATGTACGAACCAAATTCATTCATAGAAAAAAACTTGAATCAACTGAGTTAGTGACAACTATATTTTTCTTATCTTAGGGTGACATGACAGATTCTAGGCAATACAAAACCTTCTTGAACTCTGATTGATGCTCACTTACATCTTACATGAACTCTGATTTTTTAAGCATAACAGCTCAATACATCAAAATTCAAATTCCTGACAAAAATGAACTCAAATTTAGTAACAGCTATTTGAAATTAGTTATACACTAACATGAACGTTTCTTTGTATTTGTTTTGTATGTAAATTACAAAAATAGGCACAAAGTATTTGTAAGAACTGTGCAAGTATAGAAAAAAAAAAAAATATATATCATTTACGCCTTCTACTTTTCGAGTGCTTCCAACGAATTTCCTCCTAGATTTCAATTATTTATTGCTCTCCAGAACCTAATTTCTGACTTTGAAGTTTGAACCGACGGAGACAGGAGGAGCTTCTTCGAAATTCATGATTTGAGACAATTATGTGCTGAGTCTTTCTAGTGTAATATATAAATAATGTTCAATGTTTTATAACTGAAATTTCCAGTACAGTTCACAAATTGAGTTAACAAGAAACGAATTAAAGAAAAATAAAAAAAGAACTAAACAAATAATATAACAGTGACATTGAACATCCCATCTTTCCCTTAGAATTTTGCTGTTAAGAATTATTCAACAGGACTCCAAGTCTATGAGGATGGGGCGGGACAACAGAAGTCGAAGTACTCCTGTTTTTCCTATCCCCGTTCTGAAAGGAAAGAAGAGGCTTGACCGATAAGGGTCAAAACCTTTGGTTACTCATTCCTATGTCTTACCTATGGCTTTTGGGTTGTAGAAAAACTGAAAAAGATAAAAACTGCTTCACATTACTCTGATTCCTTTACTCTTAACTAATCCCCGTTTAAAATGAAAACCTCTTTTCTTTCTGCTCCAATCTGACTCCTTTGAAAAAGGTACTGCTTTTACGTTTTCAATTCTTTGATATTTTTTCTTCTCATTTCGATTTGTTACTCAGCAATTCCTGTTCAAGCCTCAACTTGAAATTTTGATTTTTGGTCAATACCCCATAAAGCAAATTCAAAATTTTCTCGGTATTTTCTCAGCTTGTGTTGTGTTAGTTCATGTGTAATGTTATGTGTTCTCAATTCTGGTTATTGCTAACCACCCCTTGTGGCATGATGGAGTGAAAGATGGATTGATGAGTTAAAAGTTCGAGGAGGGGTCTGGGTTCAAGTTGTAGCAAGGGCAAGGGGTGGCCACTGTCCGCTGATTACCATAGCCCCCCACCCCCCCCCCCCAAAAAAAACCCCCCCCAATTACACTATACCCCCCCCCCCCCCCCCCCCCCCCCCCCCCCTCCCCCCCCCCCCCCCCCCCCCCCCCCCCCCCCCCCCCCCCCCAAAAAAAAAAAAAAAAAAAAAAAAAAACATATTCTGGTTACAGCTCTGAGGACCTATTTGTTTTTATATATTCATTTTTATATGTCCATGTTTATGTATGTATCCATGGCTCATAAATAACTGATATTGCAAGGACCATTCCTAATTTTGTTGAGATAATTTTTAATGGCAATTTCAGTATGCTTGGAGTGGTCAATTTCAATGTTGAAAAACAAAGTTAGAAAAAAATGGTAATTTAGGCTAGGATTTGGGTCAAATATCTTATCAATTACACTAATCATTGTTTTAGACAATTTTCTTAAGGTTGCCTTGCAACCGTAATCTGATTTACTAAGGGTATATGATTCTCTGGATGTCTCAAAATGATATACAGATCACTAAACACTGTCAAACTCTTGTTGCCGAGTCAAGAGTATAAAAGAAAACCTTCACGAATTAGTACTATTCAGATGCTGTTTATTCACGTTCTTAACTGATTCGTAGTTAAATAAGATGTGCTTATACGCACAACGGCACAAGGCCAAACATTCATTCATGTGTCCAGAGGCATGTGCTGCTTGACTTACATGTTCCTTGATTTACACAGTTGTGTAAGAAATATTGGTCTTTTTTTTTCTCTAAACTTTATCATTGTGTATATTATATGTTGATTCTGAAGTTTATACTATGATGTTTCCGTCAAAATGGATCTCGCTCAGGTTTTTGCTGCAGATCACGTGCTTTGCTGTATTGCTCAAGGGGTTGATATTGTTGAAGATGGAACTGGTCCTTGCTGTTCTAATATTGGCTTGCTTGCATTCTACTGTACAATCTGATTATCAAGGTATGACAAATCCCGTATTTGATATTTTTGCATGTACGCAGCATATAGATAACTTCTGAATTAGATAACTTCTGAATATAGGGTAATCTGGAAGTGAACTGTCCAGTTTATAATAGTCATCTGGAGTCAAAGTTTGTTGCAAACTAATTGTAGCCAAGCTAAGCAGAGCTAAATTTCTATCATTTACTTCTTTGGTTGTTAAGCTAAAAGTTATTCTATTAGTTTAGTGAACTCTATAGCAATGAGTAATTTAGAACAGTGGAAGAACTTTTGTTGTCTCAGATTGAATGGAAACAGAAAAAAAGAAACCAGTTTAGATGCAAAGAGAGAGATGGCTTTCAGGTAATAAAGTCAAATTGAAATGTTGATTAAGGTAAATCTTTGCTGATTCAGTAGGCAGTTATCAGTTCCTAATGAGATGAGATTTTGATCGATCATTTTCTTTTATGTTTGATTTTATTAGCCTCGTGAAAATTTTTGGTACTTATATATTGTTGTTGGGTTAGCTGTTCATTTGGTGGTGAATATTCCTATATTCTGTTTCAGGAGATGCACTATACGCTTTGAAGAATTCATTGCATGTTCCAAGCACTCTGCTGACTGATTGGAATCAAAACCAAGTTAATCCATGCACTTGGTCCAATGTCATCTCTGATAATAGTAACAATGTTGTCTCTGTGCGAGTTATTCTTAGATTAAGTTTGAACTTCCTTTTTTTTTTATTTATTTTTTTAAATTATAGTGCTTAGATAGCACACTATGCCAGTATAAATTACTTGTTCGTAGATTATGTACTCTTTTGCAGGAGATTGTCAACCATGAACTTTTCTGGAACCTTGTCCCCCAGAATAGGAGCTCTGAGGAATCTAAAAGAACTGTATGTATGGAGTGTATTGCTGTAATCAATGTAATTCGTTACAGTATTTTCTGTACCTTTTTAATCTATTTTCCTGAGGTGGCAAATCTCATTTTCTAAATAATGAATTCTAGGGGTATGTATCAGCAGTGGTGAAAATCCCTTATCCATAGTGTCTATGCAGTCCTTATGCAATTTTATAATGATCTTGGCATTCCTTTTTTCTTCTCCATTTTATCTATTCTTAGAATGACATGCAGGATTCCATTGGGTTCAGAACACATGCACAGCAGTCTGGTATTTTATTAGGATAAGGGAAACCTGGTATCTCTAATTGTGCCATTTGAGTCATAAAAACTAATCTTCTGTGTCTTTGGTTGCTGATTTTGCCATTATGATTTGCTTAGGTTTGAAAAAAAGTTCCAAGACTAATTGTTTTTGCATGAATTAAGGAAGACAGTTCACTTTTGAGCTTCCTGAATTTTTATAGGCTTACATTTTCTTTATTGGAGGCATTTATTTCAATTTGAACCAAGGGAAGAAAAAAAAGATCTTCTGACTTCTGGATTTTTATTTCGTTCATATATGTCATAGGGTGATAGATATTGTAGGTTAAAGCCAGAAAATCTGAGAAGAATTTGACTGAAGATTAACTTCCGTTTTTTGGGCAAAATATTGTCTGTATCTAGATCACTCATGGTTTTGTGGATATAATTTTTTTAGGAACATTTTTTATGCTTTTCCAAATAATATTATCAAGGAAAATGATGATCTTTGCTCTCTTTATTAAATTCATCTTTATGTTTTGTATGCACTTTAAAACTCTTTCTCTCTCTCTTGTGACATGGATACAGACACGTGCTAATTACAACAACAAGACACAAGTTGCCAGCTTTTACTTAGTTCATAGTAGATTTATAATATTGTAATGGTCATTGACTTGTTCCAGTAAATGGGTATATATACATGTGACCAAGATGTTTCTAATATATATAAGGTGCACTTTTCATGCAGTACATTGAAAGGAAATAACATAAATGGTGAAATACCTGAAGAGTCTGGAAATCTTTCAAATTTAAACAGCCTGGACTTGGAAAATAATCATTTAACAGGTCAAATACCATCTTCACTTGGTAATCTAAAAGAGCTTCGGTTCTTGTAAGTTTTTCCATCTGTAATGTACTTTTTTTTTTTTTTTTTTCCTTGAGGTGTATTTTATATCTTTATGTTTTTCATTCGTTTCTCATAAAACCTTGCTATGTTTTTGACATGTAATCAGAACTTTGAGTCAAAACAACCTCAATGACTCTATTCCTGAGTCACTTGCAGATCTTCCAAACTTGATCAATATGTAAGTGATTCCCGAAATTAACAGATGCCTGCATGAAGTATCAATAAATTCTTTCTCTCCCCCACATTTCTGGACCTTGGAGTTTCTTTATGTGGGCTTGTGTTCATCATGTTTCTAAGTTTTTGATTGCATAGATGAACTTCTTTTTGCAGTCAGCTTGATACCAATAATCTCAGCGGCCAAATTCCTGCACGTTTATTCCAAATTCCTAAGTACAAGTATGGACCACACTTACTTGTATTATTTTTATTCCTAATAACTCGGTCATAATATAAGATACTGTGAACTTTTCACTTATTGGATATGCTTGTATTTAGTCTTTCTATCTCACTCTTTGTCATCAGCACTAAACTTGATTGTGTTGGCTTATATTAGTTTCACGGGAAACCATCTGAATTGTGATAAAAATCTTCCCCACCCTTGTGAATCTAGGAGTAATGATTCAGGTAATTTGGTTTGATGTTAGTTTGGTTCATAATGTGAGAGATGTTTTCTTAAAATAGAGCTGTTAAATCTTTTTGACCAGCTAATGGCTTAGGTAATTCCCTATTCTGACAGGGGCTTCAAAGAAGCCAACTATCAGAATTATAGTTGGGATTTTTGGAGTTGTTCTTCTTTTTGGAGTGTTTTTGTTTTTCTGGTGCAAGGCTAAGCATAAAGGCTACAGGCGTGAAGTATTTGTAGATGTTGCAGGTTTGTGTTAATTTTCAGTTTACTAGAAACTAGTTTATATATATATGGCGTCTCCTTTCAGTATTTAGCTTAAATTTTTGGAGCATACATGCATGGTTCAAACAATATTCTCATGAGGATGGTGATAATTTGTTAGTGTAGAATTATAAATATTAGTGTGTGGTTATGAAATTTGTGGGAGAATTTCAAAATTGTGAACTTCAGCCTCATGATTTAGTTTGCCACTCATGACTTTATGATGCTTGCTTTGTAAAGTTCGCTCTGGTATCCATTTTGTTCTACTCATCAAGTAGTTCACCTGTTTTATCCTGTATTACGAGTTGTGTACCATCTTCAAATACTGGAACTGCAGTATTTAATTTACATATTCTTTTAATGTAGTTTCTCAGTTGAAGCTATCTTTTTTATTGTGTAAACAGGTGAAGTCGACCGAAGAATTGCGTTTGGTCCGTTGAAAAGATACTCGTGGAGCGAATTGGAGTTGGCTACCGACAATTTCAGTGAAAATAATGTCCTTGGACAGGGAGGTTTTGGAAAGGTTTATAGAGGGGTGCTTGCTGATAACACAAAAGTTGCTGTGAAGCGATTAACTGATTTTGAGAGTCCTGGGGCAGATGCAGCTTTCCAACGTGAAGTTGAGATGACAAGTGTGGCTGTCCACAGAAATCTATTACGGCTGATTGGATTTTGCACAACACCAACAGAACGTCTTTTGGTGTACCCATTTATGCAGAATTCGAGTGTGGCCTCTCGGCTGCGAGGTATTTATATCTATGCAATGTCATATAATAAATAGAAGCTGCTAAGTGCAATGAAATTGTTTACATTTTTTGCTCAGATATTATCTAATAATGTGAGTCTTGATAAGGTAATAAATGCACAAGTGAAAATTTTGTGTATTGGCATCAGAGAGTGATGCCTCCCAAAATTGTTCATCTGTTCTCAGTATAATCGTGTTTTGTTACTGAATATACCATCAGAATACGAAGCCTGAGACCAAAGTAAATTTAGAAGGCCATGCGTTTCCTTCTCAAAAAAATTAACATGCTATATTGTTACCTCTGGACTTATACGATGGAAATTATGCTTGTATCTTTATTCTTAGTGGCATTGTAGATTATAGGGAAGATAAAGTATTTGAATGGTGTGAATTAAAAATTGTTTTCATCTTTGTTGTCATCGTCCTAGTCCGAGTTCTAATCTGTCAAGCGCAAGGATTGCCTGGCTTCAGTGGAGATCTGAATAGAATCTGTTCATTTACTCGATTTAGCCTGAAGTTTTATTGAATTTTTTAGTAATACAAGTCCAATGATGGACTATTTGTGTTTAATCTTAAGTTCTGCTGTAGGCCTACCTCTTTACCATGTAAGATTTAGTTTCATCTATAGGGAACTTACATAATTTCTTGAGTTGTAATGCTTGTACCAATTTAGGCATACGATAAATTTCTAGAGGCTGCTCTGATGATGTTTAACTAATTTTTAAGCATTCTTGCAGAAATTAAACCTGGGGAGCCTGTTTTAGACTGGGCTATGAGAAAAAGAATTGCCTTAGGTGCAGCACGTGGGCTGGAATACCTACACGAACATTGCAATCCTAAGATCAGTCATCGGGATGTGAAGGTGGATAATGTATTGCTTGATGATGACTTTGAACCAGTTGTTGGTGGCTTTGGCCTGGCCAAATTGGTTGATGTGAGACAGACTAATGTGACGACTCAAGTTCGTGGGACAATGGGCCACATAGCACCTGAATACTTGTCCACTGGGAAATCATCCGAAAGAACAGATGTTTTTGGGTATGGGATTATGCTCCTGGAGCTTGTCACAGGTCAACGTGCAATTGACTTTGCACGCGAAAATGCCTATTTGCTTGACCTTGTAAGACGCACAATATTTGACTATCTTCATTTGTTTGTATGCATTCATTCCTCTCTCCTTGCCTCATAATGGTTGACTTGATTATATATGACTTACAAGTTAAAGAATTAAATTTAACTACTTGTACATCAGTATTTTCTCTTGCTACGTGGAATTCCCAACTTCCAAGTGTTTTTTGTTGGAGCAAATGCCTTTTCCATTTCTTTGGCAAGGAACTTTGGCCATAAAATATTCAAGTGACATTTTTGTTTTTTGGTGTTTTAAGAAACCTTATGAGGATAAAATGCTTCCATCACGTTCTCATGTCATCTCATATGTACTCTGTTGTGCCGAAGTCGATGTTGCTTCAAATTTAGTGTTGATATGAAAATAATCTTTATTGTATGAGGAACTTTACATGCATCCTCATGCTGGAATTAAGCTAAATTGGGCTTCATTTGTAATATAGTTGCTACATCCAAGTCTCATCTTACATTCTTTGATGTCGGAGTATAGATGTATTTGTTCTTGTCATTTTCAGTTTTGAGATAAATTGTTCTCGCAAGAGATGAAATTTGTCGGAAATTTGACAGTATTTCACTTCTGAAATTTTGCATTTGACGCATCGAAGATTGAAGCTAGATAATTTGGTTTGCTCATAATTTCCAAAGTTTTACACTAATCAGTTCCTATGACTGCATCAATCTGTGTTAATTTGTCTCCAAAAGGTCAGGAAGTCCGAGACAGTGAAGAGACTGGACGCTATTATAGATCCCAACCTTAATAGAAGTTACAACTTCCAAGAGGTGGAGATTATGATTCAAGTTGCGTTGCTCTGTACACAACGATTACCTGAGGCCCGTCCAGGAATGTCAGAGGTTGTACGCATGCTGGAAGGAGAGGGGCTGGCTGAGAGATGGGAAGAGTGGCAGCACGTTGAAGTTACTCACAGGCAAGAGTACGAGAGGCTGCAAGGCGGATTTGACTGGGCGATAGATTGCGTAGACAACCAGGAAGCAATTGAATTATCAGGTGGAAGATGAGGTAACAGATTCGATTTGGTGTGACAAGCATGACAAGCATTTAACCTTCTGTTACATTAGGCTAGCTTGATATCTCCTTCAGTTGACATAATTCTAATGCCAAAACTAATGGTGTGGAAAGAAAGGGGGGACAAAAAAAAAAAAGGAAACATGCCTTCATATTTTTGTATAATATATGTTCGTAATAGCTCTATAGCTCTTCCCTCTTGGGGCTGGTGTAATTTTAATTTTGGTTAAATTTTGCAGCCATCAGCCAACTAAATGAAAGGGAAGAGCTCTTATTCTGTAGAAGGAAGTTTTTTTTAGTGATACTGGAGATCTGCTGGGTTGACACCAGTCTGATATTTTTAGCTTGTGCTCTTCACAAGGACATAGGAAAGACAACTTCTGGTTTTCACTCATGTCTAAATTATGCAGAAAAGCTACAGTTTTTATGTGTCTATGGCTGTGATACTAATGGATGCAACTGCTTTAACCTGCCATTCTTCCATTTGCTCCACCATCCCCTTGACATCATCTTTGCATGGAATTTGCTTTGCCAAAAGATACTCTGGTGTCTTCTCCATGTCTCTATGCTTCATTTCTTCAAGGTTGATGCCACACTTGATACAATCAACACCTGCCATTGCCAAGCTTCTATTGACATGGCTTCTTCGGCTCGAAATCTAACCTTAAGAACTTGCACAATGCTTTTTAGCAGTATTGTTATATCTTTCTGTGACTTGAGCCACTTGTACTTCACTTTCACTTTTTCATGCACTTCATTAAATCACAATCAAAGATAATTGATTAACTAGTAAAAGTTGTTAGGGGGTAATTGGCCTGTAAAAAAACCAATAGGTATGCAATGAATGTGTACTTACTAGTAATTAATTATGTACATGACACCACATATGGTCATGTGAATGCTTTCATTATGAGTTCTTAGTTTCTGTGTAACTTTTAGATTTGGAAAATGTATACACATGAATGCATGTGATATATGGGTGAGGTCACTTATAATTCAGTGTAGTAATTGAACTAGATTTTTATAAATAGTAAAAGTGTTTTAAGGAGACAACCAAAAGCCTTTAGAAAGTAAAAAGAGTTACTAGAAAGATGCTTGTCTACTTAACTTAAAACAGAAATGTTTTCCTTTTCTCTCAACAAAAGTGAGGATTTCATGTGCAAAGTTTACTGAATTTCTCAAATGGAAAAAGAAGTTAGGCTGTTACCATCAAACTATGATCAATAATAAATCACTAGACAGATATAATGTACTTTCTAGTTGGATCAAATTATGATGGTATTTTTAAATACAATCATATCCATAACAATGCATGATTTATAGTTTTGCCAGGGCTGAAGGTTAACAGATTATACAAAAGCAGAAAATAAGATGAAATTGAGATAAGTTTTTCTGTTAACAGCATTTAATTTGAAAGAAACTTTATAACACTAATATAATGCTATAACAATTCCTCCATAAAGAACACATTGCAACTCAAAGGTTAGGCATTAGCAAAACACATTTTTCCTTTGAAATTGAAGTTTTGTCTTTGTCTGATTCACTGAGGCTACGGCTTTAGCCCATTCAAGCATCTTTTCTTTCAACCATTGCTCATTAACCACTAACACCTCACTTCTCTTCTGCTCATTCTTAGTGCTTAACCTTTGCTCAGCCAGCAGATATTCAGGAATCTGTTCCAGGCCACCATGTTCCCATGCTTCTACATCAATGCCACACTCTGCATAGTCAACGCCTGCCATTGCAAGAGCTTCGACAGACATTTTTTCTAAGGCAGCACACTCACAAATTTCTACTCTAAAGAATGTATAAATGAAGAGAAATCTTTGGTGATTTTTATGACAGTATGATGGAGTGTATTTATATGCAGTAAAGTCCTATGAGAAACCACTGTTTAGAGGATTTCTTGTGTGCTATCAACATTTAGTTAGAGGAAGGTACACGGGTATTCCATGGATAAAGTTTTACTTCATTGTACCCGTGATCTCTTAATTAACGGGCCTTAACTGAAGTTGTTTACTTGTATTGGAAGACATAATTTGACAGATTAACCCCAAAACTTTTGCTAATATGTCTAAGCAATAACTTGGATACCAATTTGGAGATTATTGTCTAAATAAGCAACAAAAGCAGTTTATCCACAGTGCTTAACATGTCAACCACAATACTGGAACTGACTTCTATCTGTGCTTCTTCTTTACGTCATCAAGAACTTGTCAGCAATGAACAGTGCTGTTAAAATCTTGAATTTCCCGTGGTAGAAACTTCCTTATAGAATCTGCGCATGGTAGTTTAGTTAGAAAGAGCAACTACCTTTGATATTTATGGTTATTGACATTTGAGGGCTTCACATGTTGTTCCTTTACATGGATGCCACATCCAAAAGCAATGAATTTGATCAGTTAAGATTTTTGAGGACATTTTTAAGAAGATTCAAGTTTAATAGTACAAATACAATGCAACATATCAGACTTGTCAGCTAAGAGATACAGTATATATGCATCAGAAGAATTAGAGACTGTAAAAGAGCAAATGAAAAGACATAAAATCTGAACCTTCTAGATGTATTTCCCTCTTGCTCTGGTAATTTTTATGCAAAATATAAGTTATAGAGTCTACCACTATTAAAAGAAACAACAAATAAACCAACGAGAAAGAAATGAAAACCCTCATTACTGTTAAACAAATAAATAATCTGAAACAAGATTTTCCAGGGCAACAATCATTTTATTGATGATTCTCCATTGCTCCACTTTTGGATTCTCTTCTAGTTTCATCATCTCTTCATCTTCTTCATCGGCTAGCAAATGGGATGGAGGAGGCTCAAAATCCTCATGCTCCCATTCTTCAATTTCCACACCCCATTCTAGATAATCCGTGCCTGCCATTGCTAAAGCTTCCATAGAAACTGACATGCTGTTTTTCGCGCAAATCTTTTCTTCTCTTGAAAGTAATAAGCTCAAAGTAGAAACCACCACAGTTAAATATTCTAAGAATTAATTTCAATCTTTTTAATGGAGTTGTCTAGAGGGCAAATGCAATATTATATATAGGCGATCCTATGAACAAAATTCAAATCAAAGTTTGAAGGGAAAGTTTGAAGTTGAATAAGGGGAATTGAGAATCAAGAGTCCTGTGATCATCTTGTTGATTATGAAAGCCATGATGTAAGCTTGATAGCTAATACGTATTCTCCTGTCCTAACCTGTATGGATCATGGGATAAATAAATAAAAAAACCAAAGGAAGACTTGAAAATTGAATGGAGAGGTCTGAAGTTGAATTAGAAAAGGAGTGATATTTTAAAATACAGTTCCTGTGATCATCCCATTGACTGATTAATTGTGTTCCTACTTCTCCAAGAGTAGTTGCTTGTGACACCGCAGCTGAAGTGGAATATGCTATATGCAGGGAAACAATGTTATATTTTGAAGCAAACAAGAAGGGAATTTGGGTGTATTTGGCTCTAAAGCATACTCTTACATAATCTTGTTGTTTATACATGTTAAACCCGTGAACTCTCGTCTTTACTTGTTCTGCCTGGTCAGGCCATTGACTGGGTCTTAACTTGAGAGCTTAAGTACTTAAATTTTGAAAGTTATTGAGTTAAATGACCTCGAATGCAAGAGATAACGGATGAAGTAATTTGAGAAGTGAGAAATTCGAAGTTGAAACAAATGTGCAATGCATCAGTCTGCTCATTATTGATGGGAAAAATGAAGACTCTTGGATGTTTATAAATATCAATGTTCGGAAAACCAGACCGGACTATGACCCGTTCACGGGTCCGATTTCTGGTTTGACCGGTTGGATCGATCGGTTGGACCGTATCCTGTAAAATTAATTTTAGTCTCTAAAAGTTTGAAATTCATCAAAAACACCCCTATAATACTCACTTAAGGTTTGAAATTTATCTAAAACACCCCTGTCGCGCGAAGAGACTGGTGAGTGGTGGCCGCAACGACGATCAACAGCCAATCGAAGTTTGGAATCATGGGGCTTTTGATGTATAGGTTCTGGCGAATCTGATGGTGGTGTTAGGGAGTTCCATCGGTGCCGAAAATTTCTGGAATCAAGAAGGAAGTTTGACGGCAAGCGTGAACTTCAGGTGGACGGCAAGCGACGAAGGCTGGACGACGGCCACTAAAAATGGATGGGTTTGTCGTGGAGATGCCGTCAAGTCGAATGGTGGTGTTTTCTCCGTCAAAATATGCCAAAATCCGGCAGGATTGAGCCGCGATTGGACCACTACTAGGCACTATTCCGACGGTCTAACCGTGGCTCAATCCGGTTTAACTGAAAATACCGGGTTTTAGAAGATACCGGATCAAAGATACCGTCGACTCCCGGTAAAACAGGTCCGACCAGACGGTCCGGTCCGGTTTTTAGAACCCTAATAAATATTAAAAGATTCATGTAAAGTGTTATCCAGACATTCTTTATTTTCTTTTTCCAAAACATTGAACTGCATGTACATATTGTGTATAGTTAATGTGGTATAAAAAGTAACAGTTGGAAATAAGATCATCAGCCTCTTATAACTAGGAGTTAATGTGATACAGGGAATAACTCATAGTTAATATGACACACTACACCAAAGCTTCTTAATGTACTAAGAAAGTTAGAAATGAGATCCGAGAAGACATATATATTATTAATTTACCACATTGGTCCCAAATCGGGACCAGCCAAATATATTATTTAATCGAAGTTATTAATTTATCAATAATATTTTGTTTACATTTGAGTTGTACAACTGAGTCATACAAACAGACAAAAATTGTACAAAATTTATGTAAAACAACTACTATGTCCTTTGTTTTTTACCTGTTTGTATGGCTCAGTTGTAAACGTAGCATTGCTCTTAATTTGTCGAGTATTAATTTATCAAAGTTTAACTGTATTTAGTTTGAAACGGATACATTAAGCATATATAATTATATATAGTATATTCTTATTTACATAATTCTTTTGTGTCATTTGGAAAAAGTGCTTGGTTCACGGGATACAAAATTTGATCAATAAATATATATTTAACAGAAATAATCTTATATAATCATGTAACTAATTTTAATTAATAAAATGTAAAGGTTTTGTTTAAAAGATTTAAATAGCTATAAAATAATGAGAATTAACTTTATTGCCCTCAATAAAATATGATAAGAACAAAAATAGTCTAAATGTATAAGATACTAAGCCTATGATGATCAAACATATTTTAATTAAGTTGTTAAATCATACTTTAAAATGTATTATTGAATCTACTGTAGTCTAATATAGTTTAACGTTATTGGTTGGAGAACATATTTTTTATTGTTTTTTTGAATATTATAAGTAATAAATCGTTTGATTTTATAGCTAAATTTGTCCTTTAAATAAAATTAACTTTCACGTTTTTGGAAATTGAGATAAGTAACTTAACTCCAAACTAACAGCTTTAAAGGATCGATTTAACAGTCCTATGCTAATACATGATGCCAGCTTGAAGAAAATGGTGTTATTAAAATAAATTTGAAAGGAAAATGATTACTTTCTAATTCTATTAATTTGAGGGTTAGAAAATAATTTATTAATTTACTTATTATTATAATAAGGGGTAAAAAGGGTATTTGACTAGTCAAACCTGGTCAAAGAAATTGTACCTTAACAAAGGTTAAAATTGGGTGACAATTGGTAATTTATGAAACTGTTAGGGCCAAAAATTGTCCTTGGCCCAAATAGGAAAACGGGCTCGACACTGAAGAAGAAGCCAGGCCCAATCCTGATATGACCCAACCAGATTAGGCCCATTCGGTACAAGATATAGCCAGCCCAAACCACGTGGGCACGAGCCTCCTAATCCCAGTCCACTTCCTAGGTCCATGGGTGAATCCAGAGCCCACAACCCCCTCAGAATACTTTCCTACTCCTGATCAATCTCCCATTCAAGGTCACCTTCCTATTCCTGATCACTT